ACCTAAAAAAATTGTTAATACTCTTAATCAGTCTTGCTTCTTGTAGTTTTTTCAATTGTTATTTTAAAGCTTTTTGATTTTGTTGATCTTCTCTATTCTTCCTATTAAAAAAAAAATCACTTCTACTCTTACCATTATAACCTCCTTATTCTCTGGGCTTTCTTTGTTGATCTGTCTCTAGCTTCTTGAATTAGATACTTAGATCATTAATTTTTAGTCTTGATTTGTGAAAAGTGTAACAAAGTTAAACATTTTTTTTTCTTTGTAAAAGGTATTTGTGCATTTTCATCTGTATGGCTTTCATTTTTATGCAGTTCTAATTCATAACTTTCATTATAATTTATTCTTTGGACAGTAGATTATTCTGAAGTGTATTTTCAGTATTTTAGTGTGTGTGTGTGTGTGTGTCCCCTGTTTTGACTCTTTATAACATTGTGGTAAGAGAAAATAGTTTATATAAAATATTCTTTGGTATATAGGCAACCTTTGTGATTGAAAAGATTTATCGTCTCTCTTTTTTCCATGAAGGCTGTCTGCTTGTTCAAAAGGTACAGCTTTATAACTTCACTTTTTATATTTTCAGCAATCTTATTACTGTTTTGTCTGTTTGATATTCAGTTTCTGAGGAAGGTATCTGTAAAATCCCTAAATATGTTTATATATTTGTCAGTTTCTCTTTTTGCATATGTTATTTTTGCCTAGTAATTTTTTTTTAAAAAGGATGGACTTATATTTTAAACCACATTCTAGTTTTAAAGATACCTAAAATGAACATCTCAATCCTACTGCAAAATAATGCAAGGAACTGAAAATATGAAAACACTAATCTCTTTCTGTTATTTTCATGTTATTATCAGGCTGTTAGATCTGTTCTCTCCTACTAATTCTCATTATTAATTTGTTTTTACAGTCTGTAATTAAATAGATTTATAAACATATTCACTAATTTTTATGTTTACTATGTTTTCTTGTATTTTACTTTTGTGTTTATTTTTCTTTTTTTCTTCCTTTCTTCAAAAATATTAATTTAAGACTATGTATGTATTATTTTGTATTTATTTGTATTTTTAGACATGGTAATCAGCAGTGATTTACTGAGAATGTTTATGATATTTACACAAAAACTGTGAAAAGGTGAGAGAGAGAGAGCTATGCAAATATTAGGAAGAAAAGCATTCCAGGCAGAGAGATATAGCTAATGGCAGTATCTGAGATGCAAACATGACTGCAGTATTTAAAAAAACAATACAGGACAAAACATGGTGGGCAGTGTGGCTGGAGCAGATGGAGTGAGGGAGGGAGAAGGAGATGAGGTCAGAGAAGAAAACAGGTCAGATCATGTAGGGTTTGTTAAGTCATTACATGAACCATGGGCTTTTGCTCTCAGTGAGATGAGAAATGATTGTGGGATTCAGCAGATCTCATATACCTTTTAAATGATGAGTCTGGCTGTTGTGTGGAGCAATGGTTGTCGGAAGGCAAGAATAGAAACAGAAAAGCTAGTTAGAAGATCCCTATGGTCTGACCTCAAAATTCAGATGTTGAAATCCTAACCCCCAAAATGATAGTGTTAGAGGTGGGGCCTTTGGGTGGTGTTTCAATCATGAGAGTGGAGTCTTTGTGAATAGGATTAGGGCCTTATCATTGAAACCCCACAGAAAACCCAAGCTGTCCCACTACATGAGGACACAGACTGCAGTCACCAGCCATGAACCAGGAAGACTGTCTCCTCAGAACACAACCTAGCACCTCAGTTGTGGGCTTCCTAGTCTCCAGAACTGTGAGAGATACATTGTTGTTGTTTATAAGGTATCTACTCTGCTTGATTTTGTTATAGCAGCTTAAATTGACTGAGACAAGGATAATTGCCATGATTCAAGTAAGAGATGTTGACTAGACCAGGTCTGTAGCTGTGGAGATGGTGAGAGTAAGATTCTGGATAAATTTTTAAAAACAAAAAAGAAACGACACACAGCAGGTCTGCTTCTTCATTTAATAAGGAATTCACTGTGCTATAGCAAGAGGTCCTGGTGATAACCAGCATGGGGTTATTAATTAGAGTAATGCAAGTTTTTAGAGGATAATTATGCTACTAAATATCTACTACAATATATGTCATATATAAACAATTTTTTGGAAACTCTTGCTTAGACAAACTCAAAGAGTTCAAAGTTTGTAGTTCACAATTTTTACTGGTTCCAGGAATGACAAATTTGTTTTGTATGTTGCTGTTACTAATTAGAATGACCCTGTAATATTATGTAGTAATTAAAAATAATAATGCATGTCAAGAAATAAGAATATAAACATAAAGAACATAAAGAGATCTCTTTATGTTTTGTATTGTTTGTATTTTTTGACCCCACAGGAGATAGGGTTTATAAGAGAGTTTGCTATAATGTGCATAACATGAAGAGAAGAGGTTTTAAAATTTAATTGTCATATAGATCACATGAAAAGCCATGAGTATGGCTAATACTGTGTAGCAGTATTAAAAATATAGCCATAGTAGACACTAAATAAAGGTAATTGCTTTCTTGTGGAAAACAATTCGAAATAGAGAAAATGGGCATGCATCTTTCTCAAAGATCACTGGGACCCATAATTACTGTGGGTATCTAATAAACCTGCATTTCATTAACAGTGCATCTAACTGAATGTAACTTCTGAAGAAACATTATGTACAAAGTCCAGGTCAGATTGAGGAGGATAAAACATTATATAAGATAATTAGTTCAGCAGCTTTGGTCTTCATGAAAAAGACACACAGCCAATGCATAGCATATAGGGAACAAGAGATGAGAAAGCCCAATGTTGTGCCAGTGAATGTTTAATAATTGGCACACTGGGAGAAAAAAACAAACAAACAAACAAACAAAAAACACTGATTTGTAATGTTTGCAGATTTCCGTGGTGTAAGTCCTCCTATTGTGGCCAATTTCAAGCTATGAACTTGAACACTACTGAAAGTTGTGTTGGGTGACTCGCGCCCAGTTAACCCTTGCAAGGTCAGTTTCAGCATGCCATGGCCTAGACTTATTATCAAATAGCCATGAGAGTTTGAATAACCCTGAGTTTCCTCACTGATAAAATCAAGAGGTTGGACTAGTTATTTTCTAATGCCCTTTTCCAGATTTATCAAACTTTTTAAAGGAACTATGGTGAGATGATTTTTGTCTCCTTAAATAAAATAAAATGTATATAGAATATCCCCTTTTAAAAATTCTACATGCAACTACAGGTAAAAGTAATGGTACAAATTCACTTTTTCCATTAATTTTCCTTTTCCATTAAAAAGGGTATTAAAATCCTTATTTTTAAATGGAGTGACAGATTTGAGAACATCATGTAGATGAACCAGCATTAGATAAGTAAAGTGATTCTAATTGGATGAAATTTTAAACATTCCATTGTTATACTATCAATTATAGCAATGCAGAGAGGCGCCTTCTTGGCAGTCGAAAATATGTTTTTTGTTACATTCTAAATGCAACCTACTTCTGTGCAAAGCTCTGGTAGGCCTGTAAGAGTCTACTCATAGCGTTCATACCCTTGTGTAATTTCCTTTCTCTCCATGTGGGCTGGATCTTGTGACTCACTTCTAATGGACGGAGTTCAGCAATACTGTTGAATATTACTTCCCTGATTAGGTTACAAAAAGACTATGACTTGCCTGCCCTCCCTTGCTGGCTCACTCAGGGAAGCATTCAGATGACTGCAGCCTCAACCATCTTGACTGAACTTCATGAGTGACCTGAGACAATCAATGGACTTAGCTTTCTCCCAGATTCCCAACATTCAGAAGCTAAGATAATAAAATCTATTTAAGTTGCTAAGTTTTGATGTAATTTAGCAAACAGAAATACATAACTAATACGGGGGTAAGGAGGAATATGTCTGAAATTGAAGTTCAGGGACTATCCTAGGCATTTTCAATATTTCCATGCACTTTAATTAAGTTGATTGGGTACAACTGCCCAATATACATAGGACCACTAATGACACACTCTGTTCAGGAATGAAGATTTGGGTCACCCCACCAGGCAGGGAGCCTTAACCAGCTGAGGTGCTTGCTGAGGGCAAAGGTTACATGAAATGGGCAGTGGAAGAAAGTCATTATAAATACTATGACCATGGGATCAACTCTAGAAACAAGATCTGTAATTGTTATGAGTTTCATACTTTTCCCATATTTTGAAATAACCATATTATTATGTTTTGAAATAAACAAATATTAATAAAATTTTTACCTCCCTCTATCCCATTCCCTTGCCAGCTAACATAAGAGGTTTTAACAGCAGGTAATGTTTTGTCTCAGTATTTAGTTTACATAATTCCAAAGGTGCACTATGACTCAGCTAGAAAAATGAATAAACATCACCCAAAGCTGGATAAGGGATGTTTTTTATCCTCTTTTAGGAAGAGGGTTAAGATATTTGGGGTTGTACATGGGATAGTAGTAGCATGATAGACAGAAGGAAGCTTTGCTTTTGTCTTTATTTGAAATTTGAGTATCATTTAAAGAGATGTGTATGGATACCATGGTGACAAGGGATGGACTGTTGTGGTTTTTTAATGCGTCATGTTGGTTAAGCTGGACTCTGTTTCTAAGAATGTCCTTCCCTTTATGTGTCTGATTAGGAATGGTCTCAAGAAAAACCTGTGTAATATTTGGAAGGTAGATGTGAAAGAAAAATTAGCCATGTTTATTTACTGAAGTTTGATATAGGCCAAACCTTGTTGCAGTTCAAGTATATTTCTGAGTATCTGGTGATTCACTTTCCTAGCATGGGTCGCAGCTAGAGCCATGGATTCTGCTGCTTCCATGAGATTTCTTCCTTTAGTTTTCTTAAGTCCTCGGTCAGGTGCTAGTGTGACTCTGTGACAAGTGCCAGTTTTTCCTGTATGTCCTACATGATGTTAATGAAGAAGGACAGACACAAGATAGATACAGGTCCTAGGTGTTCCTCGCAGGCTTCAGCTCTTCCTTCTCTCCCCAGCTTCATGGCTAGCTTTCCTTCTCAACCTCCTGCACTATGACTCCACAATCAGCACTAGAAGCAGAAGAAATAGCTGAACCAAGAATGTTCCATCAGCTCCTACAATTGCGTGAGGTTAAAATCTCTGTAAGTACCCCATTCTAAATCATCCCTTGTGGCTCTGATTCTCTCACTGAACCCTGACTGACACATATATTCAGCAAAGAGGAAGGGCTTTTCTTTGGCTGAGCAGTCTGTAATAACAGTCTCCTACCTTCAAGATCATCCCAAGTCTTTTTGCCCATGGTTATCCTGTGCTAGTTTCTGACCATTCATACCCCAGCTTTTTTGTGCCATTTACTTCAACCATAGGACTGTGATAGGCACCGTAGTTTTGTCTTCTCTCCATTATGAAATCCTGTGCAACAATTTATCATACCTGAGATCCGTAAATTTATTCCCAGTTGGCATCTGAATACTCATTTTTAAAGGAAAAGGGGAAATGGGGTTCTCATTAATTAAACTACTGGTTCTGTGCAAGTAGAATGCAATATTGGGCTTTCTGTGGTCTTCAAGGCTATGGGGGGAGGTGGAAAGTCAAGAATGGTTTTATTGGGAGGGAGAGGGCACTACCTGGATATCCTCCTGAAATGGAACATACTTGAGACTGATGACTGTAGTTTTATTTCTAGGATTCAGACTTGGTAGCCACACATACTTCTCTAAACCTTACTTAATTGAAGACAAAAGCAATCTTGCTGCTGCTTACTATGATGCAGCCATCTCGTGTACAACAAACACATGTCCTAAAAGAGGATTGAAAAAGCCCTTCATCCATTTTTGAGTGATGTTCATTCTAGTTCTATTTCTAGATCTTTCAAGTTATGCTCTGAGATATGACTGGTGAAACAAAATGCACCCTCAGATCAAACAAAGAAACCAAGAAAAAATGAAGACTTCACTTTAAGACTTAGAAGCTGATGTTCTTAAATCATTTTTTTTCTGGCTTTAGAGACAGCATTGGGAAATAGAAATGAAAAATGTGTAGAGTTCAGATTGCAACTCTGCCACTCACTATAAACGTAGATATTTTTCTTAAATTATGTGAAGCTAGGGTCCTCATCTAGCCAAAAAGGAAAGTATTATTATCTCTTCCTCAGAGAGTTCTTAGGCAGATTAGCTGGGATGAAGTGTGGAAATCTATCACAGAGACGATGCAGAGTAGGAGTTCAGCAACTCAATTCTCTCCTGACATCTTTCTTCTTTTTGACAGTAGGGCATCTTCCTTCTGTAGAAATTACACCCATTATAGACAATGTGATACCGCACTGTGGGTGAAGGAATATAGTAATTGTGCCTAACAGGTGAGAGTAACTTGACGCTTTCCTCTCCCAAGTGTCAGCTTCTCAGCCAACGTCAGTACATGACAGGATGGACAAAGCTATTACCATGCTTGGCCTTAGTGGTTGTTATTGTCTGAAGCACAAAATCATAGCTTTAGTATTAAATAAAGAGAAGTGACATAAGAAAATACATACATCTAATTTAAAATATGCTTAAGTGCCTTTGTTTGCACTCAACTCTGCTATCTTTGTGAAGGATTAAAAAAATAAAAAGAAAATTCCAATTCTCAATAAATGTATAGATATATTAAAAGTTATCTTTCCTTTGTGAATTTGTCCCAGTAATACTCTGCAGTGAGGACCTAGATGAGACTTAGAAACAGATATTGCTCAAATCTCTGTTCTAGACTGAGCCTCATGAATAGATATGAGCTCTTTGTGGTTAGAAAAGATCTTGGCTCCAAGTTCTTCATTGAAACTCAAATCATTTGGAGACAATGGTCCCCCCAAGTATTCTTCTCTTGCATAAATGTAATCAAGAATTACATGCTTTTTAAAAGTAGAATATATTTTTGGAGGGTTGTTTCATTTTTTAGAATTGATTCATTGTTTATTGTCCATCTACTTTATTTTTTATTGTTATACAATTTTTAAAGGTCACTTTCCATTTACAGTTATTATAAAATATTGGCCATATTCCCCATGTTATACAATACATCCTTGAGCCTGTCTTAAACCTGGTAGTTTGTACCTTCTGCTCCCCAACCGTGATGGTGCCCCACCCCACTGGTAACCACTAGTTTGTATTCTACATCTGTGTTTGCTTCTATTTTGTTATATTCACTAGTTTGTTGTATTTTTTAGATTCAACATAGAAGTGATATCATAAATTTTTTAAAATTTTGATGTATTTATTTTGGGGGCAATAATTTTATTTGTTTGTTTATTTATTTTAAATGGAGGTACTGGGGACTGAACCCAGGACCTTGTGCATGCTAAGCACACACTCTACCACTGAGCTATACCCTCTCCCAAATTTTTAAATCTTTAGTCCACAATTCCTGTTTTTTTTCTTTTCAGTCAAGAAACTCCCTTTTCACTCCTCAGCAACCCATGTTAAATGCCTACTATGACTCCTTCATGTTTTTCTCATTGTCATAATTCTATGTAGATATTGTAGACACATAAATATAACATATACATACTCATCATTTTTATCATTGATGTACAAAGTAGGATTGTATTTTATGTAATTTTTTATAAATCTTGCTATTATTACAAAAATGGTTCATGATATCACTCAATTTGAATAGCTCTAATGCATTTCTTTTAGGAAATATGGATGGCTGTGCAAGTGTTTTACAATTTTATATGTTGAATTATGTTTACTTATTTTTTAACAACTGCTGGATCTAATAACAGTTTCAAAGATCTCTTCTAATGGGAATACTGATTTCATGTACTAGACTCCCTTTTAGGATTTTTAATATTTTTAAAGTATACATTTTTATTTCTTCTTTTATTTTTCTCCAAATATGTAGTGAGTTTTGCCAGCATTCTTAAAGCTGGTTGATTTAAATGATTAAAAAATAATTTTCCCATTGAATTAAATACCAGATTGTCATATATGAAATATATATATACCTGGGGCCTATTTTCCCATTGCTTTATCTTCTTTTCCTATGACAGTGACGTATTATTTTGATTAAAGTGGCTTTAGGGTATGCACTGGTATTTTAAAGCAAGCCCCTACTCACTGTCGTTCCTTTCAAATACTTCTCTTGGCTTGTTTCTGGCATTTAACTTCCACATAAACTTTAACATATTTTTACCTAGTCTGTCTGTCAAAAAATCATGGAGGAATATTAATTAGAATTGTATTGTAATTCTTTTTAACTGTAGAGAGCTGGCAGTTCTAAGTTATTAACCATCATCTAGAGTCCATGGCATAGCATTTCCTTCAGTTCAGGTCTTGTTTATCTCTCTCTCTGTTAGGTTAATTGTTTTCCTCATATGGTTTCAACATTTCTTATTATTTAATCCTTAGATATTCTATATTTTTGTTGATATTATGAAATAATTTTATATCAATATCCATTTCTATTTTTTTTTTTACAGACTAGCAAAGAGTTACTAATCTTGGTATGTTGATATTTTCTGATAACAGATTGTTGTTCAGATTGGATAATTTCTGTTGATCTATTTTCAAGATCCTCTTCTCTGTCATCTTCTTTCCGTTATCGAGCTTCCCCAGTGAATTTTTTGTTTTGGTTATTGCATATTTCAGTTAAAAAAATTCCATTTGTCTTTTCTTTATGTCTTCTATTTCTTTGCTGAAAATTTCTATTTTTTCATTATTTCTTGAGTGTTCCTAATTGTTGGAGCATTTTTATAACTACTTTAAAGTCTTTTCAGATATGTTCAACAGCTGTGTCATTTTGTTGTTGGAATCTGTTGATTGCCTTTTCTCCTGCAGGTTGAAATTTTCCTAGTTTTCCACGTGGAATACAATTTTGGCCTGTAGCTTGCAAATTTTGAATGTTATATTGTAACCCTCCTGGTTTACTTTAAATCCCAAGGAAAATGTTGATGTTTTTGTTTTAGCAGGACTTCAACCTGGGTAGGTTTATGCTGAAAGTGCCAACATGCTTTTTGTGGGCTGTGGTTCCAATTTCAGTTTAGTTTTCAAAGTCTTTGGATCTGTCCCTTGTGTGTACCACCCAGTGACTAGTTTGGAACCTAGTTGGTAGTTTATGTGTTAGTTCCATTCTCAGTAGCTTTGATACGCTGATTAGGAGCTGGTCTACACGTGTACAACTTGATGATGCGCCCAGGAGTTCATAAACAACTTTGTAGGGTTTCTTTTCCAAGCCCTGCCCTCTATCTGTTCTCCCTGGTACTTGTAGGTTCCCTGGGACTTCCTTTACAGCCTTCTGCCCAGAAAGCTGAGGCTTTAATTACTCCTCTCTGCCACCCAGCTCTGTAACTGTGCAGCATTTAGGGCCAAATGGTAAGAGTCCAAAGGGAAATAAATATATGGTGAATAACCACCAGTGCAGGTCTGGTGGTTATTCAGGTGCTCATTTTCTTATCTGTTATGCCTGCTAGTATGTACTTTCCAGTGTCCTTGAATGGTTGCTTCATGCATTCTGTCCATTTTTATAGTTGGAGTCAGTGTGAGAGAGAGAGTGGAGTGTGCTTAGCCATCTTATACAGAACAAGAGCGCTCGTTCATTGATTTTTAACATAATTATTGGATATAAGAGTTGAAGGGATGCATATATTTTCTGCCTGGATGTTAGGTTGCTGGAATAATTCTTGCTTTTTCTGTTGTATAGTAACACTCTACATTATATTTTTCATTAAGAATTAGCACATGTTGACCGCAGAAAATTTGGAAATATAAAAAGATGTAAGTTTGATTAGAAACTAAAAGCCCTCTTACTCCAACCAATCAGTGATAATAGATTGTTCAATCCTTTTACCTTTGTATGTGTGTGTGTGTGTGTGTGCATCTGTTTATAAAAAATTAAATAGCACTGTAGTCATAGGTTCTTTTCATTTTATAATGCATCACAAGAAATATTTGTATTAGAAAAAATTTAATAGATGCATAATAATCCACTGTATGGAAGTATATTAACTTTACAACACACTCACATTTTCTAAATATTCTTCTACAAAGTATATACTTCCTAGAACGTGAAGTTCCCCATAGAGAATTTTTTACACAAATATATGCCTGGTTGTTAAAAATGAATAGAGAAATATTATACAAAGAGTCTAATAAGAGATGTTGAACAG